AACCGAATTTTCGGTTACCGAATCCTTATCGGTTCGGTTTCGGTATGGATTTTCGATACCGAATCCTTATCGGTTCGGTATCGGTTTTTGGTTATCGGTTCGGTTACCGAATCGATACCACCCCTAATATATGTTACACCTCATTTTTACTTTGTAATTATTAGTTAATATTGTTTACTCTCATCTTTAATTTATAATTATTATTTAATAATATTTTCTCGTGCATCGCACGGGGTACGCACTAGTATATATATATAAAGCCATCCTATTTACTAAAATTAGTAGCAAGAAAAGTCAAAAGACAATTAATGCATACCTCATTTGGAATTTTTTTTTACTATATGCATTAATTGCTTGCATATATAAATTTTCTATTTAGATATGTCAAAAAATTCTTTCCTCAAATAATTTTATTAACTTCTGCAATGATTTTACTAATACTCATTATAACTAATATTTGTCGATAATATTTTTTAACCTTTATTATAAAAACAAATAATTTTTTTTAAAATTAATATTATTTACCATTTAAGAGATAATGACCTATCAACTTGTTCCGACCTAGAATAATATCATTAAATGATTTTACTGATGTCAAAATAATAAAATTAAAATATATTAGTTATTCTTTAAAATTTCGACATCTTATTTATTTGTATATTATTGTCAACCATGATAGCATTTTTATCACTTTTTTTTATATGTTTTTATAATGAACTTACTATAAAATATTTTTCTATTGCATAGTATGTTAAATAATCTATAAGGTTTTAGGATGAAAATTAGAAAAAATCTCTTGATTATGTAAGGGATTTATTTTTTGGCAATTGCTAAATCAATTTTCTTATTATTATGAGAAAATTGAATTCTAAAAAATATGTGTGTGTATTCTGTAAACATTTATACACAAAATTTTATTTTGAATTTCATTACATAAATTAATACGAAGAAGATTACTTCTATAAATTTTATAAATAATAGTAATGAAATTATATGACTATAAATTTTATAATAAAATAATAATTGAGTATTATATGTTGAACATGAATAAATAAAATTTTTATTTTTTCTTATATCAATGAAAAAATATATATTCTAAAATCAAATTTATATTAGTATAACGTATTTGCGAAATAATACATTAATTAATATGTTAATTGTCTGGCTAAAATAAACATCACTTATTAATAAATGTGAAATATGGATGATCCAAGCCTATCGTTTTTTTTTCGCCTAAAAGTACAAGTCCTATAGAAATGATTGATTTATTATATGTATCCCGTGCATCGCAAGAGCTATGCACTAGTACATTTAAAATGTCTTTGAAGATAATAATTTGTGGTGATGGAGATTCTGATAATAAGAAAACCACAAACGTCGTATATAAGGAAGTGTTTAATACTAGTTAGTTTTTCTTTTTTAAAATATTTTTTCAAGTGATTATGTTATGATTGTTACTATTGTTCATATTTTTTATTATTTTTCCTCTATCACACTGTTTTCCGTGCAAATGCATGAGTTAAAAACTAGTTCTTAAAAAGTCCAAAATGTACACTAAACAATCTAACAATGTCCACAAAAGTCACTAGAAAGTTGCAAAAAATGCACAAAAGCTATCAATTTTAAAAAGTCTATAATAGTCCCAATTGAATATACTCCCAAAATTAAAAATATTGTGATTTTAATATAATTTTGTGATAACTCATATATAAATGATGGTGGATAAGAGCATTTTCAATGCTCTAAAATTGTTAATTCATGTTTAACGATTTTTAAAATATCCCCTTATTTTCCATATCGTACACAAGCAGAGGTAGTCTTAACTTGTGTGCAATACTGTAATTATTATTATTATTTTTTTTTGGCGCAAAGACTGTCGATCTGAAGAATTTTGACATTGAAGACGTAGTTTCAATAGAAGATGAAACGCAAGATTTTAGACCATATTTTGAGAGTCAAGAACAAAACAGAGAAACTGCAAATACGTGGAGGTTGAGTTTGACAACGAACATGCGTAACGATGTTGAAAATATTTGATGTATTATTTATTTTATTTTTGTTCTTTTTTATTTTTAGACTTTCCGTAGAATGTCAATAAGATAACTATTGTACTTATGTGGTTCGATTGTTGAATATTTTTTTTTTTTCCTTATTGAGTGCGTTTGTTACGATATTTTTTTCTTGTCTTCATTCTTGCTCAATGGATAGTGCTTAATATCATAACATGTTTCAAATTAATATTACAATTTTTTAATTATTGATTTGACTTTATTGATACTAGTAATTATGCACATAATTTTTTATTATATTAAGAACTATACAAAAGTCTTAAAGAGTCCTAAAAAGTTCACATTGAAAGTCTTAAAAAGTCAAAAATGTTCACTAAACAATCTAACAGTTTCCACAAAAAAGTCACTAAAAGTTACATAAAGTCCACAAACGTCATCACTTTTAAAAAGTCTTTAATAATCCTAATTACTCCCAAAATTAAAAATATTGTGATTTTTAATGAAATTTTTTGATGACTCATAAATAAATGATGGTGGATAAGAACATTTTCAATGCTCTAAAATTGTTACACATTGAATTTTGCAAATGTCAACAAATTAAATGAATTGTGAAATTAAGAAATTCATTTGTCTAACTATAATATTATTATCTACTTACTAAATATATTAAAAAATATAAAAAGATAAATAAAATTAATTAAATAATTAGATATAAATATAAATAAAATTATATATTAGTATTAAAGATTCTTTTTAAGGGCGAAACGGCAACTTGCTGCGTGTGGCCGTCCAAAACCACATGCCATTTCATTGGTTTTTTTCCAGTCGGTGCCTGAAATACAAACTTCACCAAAACATCGAGAAACTTCCCATTTTTTTTTCTCCCATCCATTAAATAAGCAATTCGTAATTCCTCAGGGTTGAGTAATTTGAGCGAAAATGGCGTCGTTTGATGAGGCACCGCCTGGGGATGCCAAAGCCGGCGAGAAGATTTTCAAGACCAAATGCGCCCAGTGCCACACCGTCGACAAAGGCGCCGGCCACAAACAAGGTCGTTCTACTTTCCCGATTATCTCGTTCTTTGTTCAGTAACTCTGTTTTGTCGATTTAATTTTTCTTTGTTTTGATCTGTTAGTTTTGCCCTAGATTATGGATTTTGATCATGATAATCGCTTTTGAATGGAAGTCCAGTTTTGTTCTTGTGATATGTATGTGTTGGTCAGCTTTTCTGGTGGGTTTTTACTTTTTAGTATTGTGATAAACTAAAAATTATATCATTATTTGATACATTTCTGTAATAGTTTGCTGCTTGTGATATTGTCAATCTATAGTTGCCCCCTTTCTGAACCTTTTTTTTTTTTTTTTAATAATTGATTACTAATTTTGAATGATTATAGTGTTGCTGCTTTCTGAAAATGGCGTCGTGTGTTTCAAATGCGTGCAGGTCCCAATTTGAACGGGCTATTCGGGAGGCAATCTGGCACCACTCCTGGTTATTCATACTCTGCTGCCAACAAGAACATGGCTGTTATATGGGGAGAGAGTACTCTCTATGATTACTTGCTCAATCCTAAGAAGGTACTCTCGATCATGCGTGTTTCGATTCTAGTGAATACCCCAAACTCGATTTCCTTTTCGTAGACCTTCTCAAATTTTATAAAAACTATGCTGAAGTTTGTGCATTGAATATATGGCTTCGTTTATATACTAAGAAGGTACCCCAAACTTCGTTTCTACACTAAGAAGGTAACCCAAACTATACTAAGAAGGTACCCCAAACTCGATTCTATCATGCTCGAATATATTGCTTCGTCTATGTAATGGTTGTATCTTGTTTTGAGCTGGGTAGAAACTGATTAATGTTTCATATTACTCATTCCTTTTATTTAAAAAAATATAGCTCTTGATTGCCTCGCAACTTTTAGTATGAAGTTTGTGCATTGTCATTCCCCATTTTCTAAATGAAGTAGACTATATATGTTACACGGGATGCTTAAAGTGATATTCATTTGAAACTGTTTATGATAATATTGCATATTGACATTTTCTAGAGTGAACTTGTTTGCGGGAGAAATTATAATGGAAAATCGCGTACATTTTTTTGCAGTACATTCCTGGAACCAAGATGGTCTTCCCCGGGCTGAAGAAGCCCAAGGAGCGTGCGGATTTAATTGCCTACCTCAAGGAATCTACCGCCTGAATAAGTTTATTTTTCTCACCGAGTCTTTGAATTTCTCGCTTTTGAAAGGTATTAGACGCTACTTTTCAACTTGGGATCTTTTTTTCCCCTTTGCTTTGTAGAGAGAAGTGGCTTGAGTGATACATCCAATACCAAATAAGGGCATCGGAACTTTTATGTTGCGAATGACTTATTTTTTTATTTTATTGCCTTGTAAGTTGTAATAGCTCATGATACTCTTCCGCCATATGCTTTTCTGCCATTGAAGAGTCGTATAACACTATGTTTGTCAGTTAGTTGATTTGGCTCGTATCTGACATTCTATGTGGCTCTCGAGTGTGGTGTGGCATTTGGGGGCAAGCGAATTTGTAATGTTGGTGTTGATTGATTATTGTGGTTTATATGTTGGTGATGAGCCAAATGTTAATTAGATTCATGGCACATTTAACCTATATGAGGCTATACATGCATGACAAGCAGGCTTGATGAAAACTCAAGAAAAAAAAAATGATGGAGAACTCGTAAGCTAATTATTATTGAACAATTTTTCCGTGTTCGTTTGCACGACCGAATGAGCAGCCCAATTCATGAGTCTCATTATTTAATGTGAGTATGTGAGACTCAATCCTAGGTATCGAATAGAGATCAAGATGTGTGACAGGTGACTTACAACATTTAATTGTTTAAATATTCTTTTAATTGTTTAATTGTTGACTTACAACAATTATTCTTTTAATTGTTTAAATATTCATTTGACCATTCTCTGTTGACTTACAATATTCACCACATACAATATTCACCATGGACTTTCGACGTTGGCTGTTGACCGTATGTATGCGTTATGTATGAAGAAAATGTGCACTTGCAATAAGCAGTTGATATATATGAATAAATATGCATTTGGTACATTGAATATATAATCTATGAACTAAATGTTCACCAATAACATCAACTATGTGCACCAATAACATCAACTAAGTATGTAGTTTATGAATTAAATATGCATTATGTATGAAGTAATTGTGCATTGAAATATGCAATATTATATAATTAGATTAAATATGGACTCTAAAAGAGAGACACCGAACCCTAAGAAAACGGGAAATGTCGTCTAGCTTAATAAAATTTTGGTTTTATGTTAAACTAAAAAAAATTCATAACTATCAATTTCTACTGGAAATAGAACCTATCAACTTTAAAAGATAAATTGTCAGAAAATTTAATAGTTTGGGAGGTATGTATTTTTTTTCCCTTGATTAAATGCCCAAAAGACGTTAGATTTGGAGAGACCGATAGAGCCCTCGCTAATTCCGTAACGGTAGCGGGTAATTTGGTTGCATATATCAATATACCAGACAAAAACATAAGGTTACATTTGTATTATAAAAAAGAATAAACAAATAAAAATCCCATCTTTTTTTTTTGGTAGCCAACCACAGTTCCGGAGCTATGCCTCGACTAATCCGTTAGTCGACCCGGGTCGCACACTTGATAGTGATGAGTTACAAATAAAAATCCCATCTTTAATTGTGTCATCTATTACAATTATTGAAAATTAAATTAATTTCCATAAGATCAAATCCCAGTTGGTGTTAATTTAGCCCCAACATTTGCATTTCCAACTGAACTCTACACGAAAAACTGTAAGGAGAGTTGAGGATTCAACAGTGAAAATCAAAATAAACAACAAGACAAGACATCTGTACAGATCAGACTCATAGCCTCTGGCGACTCGGATAAAGCTCGTCAAGCAATAATAAAGCTGCTCGAGAAAATGTTCGCACCAAATAATCCACGGGCCACCTGGATTTCTCGATTCAAGTATTACCAACACAACCGAGAAGAGTCTTGAGAAAAAAAAAAATAAAAAATGACCGGTTTCAGTCGACTTTGGGTCTTTGAGTGGGTCGTGTGAAGGGATCAACCCAGCACTGGTCCTCCTTCACAGCCTTCTTCCATCTGTTACTAAATATTAACATCTCCGTGTACGATTGTCTACGAACCTGCATCCACCCAACCAAGTTTCAACTTTCTTTTTTTTTCCCTATAATGTAAATAGGAAAGTTTGACGGTTTTAATTAGGTGTAACTCAGTAGAACTCACCGCAGATCTGTTACTTAGGTTGTACATATTATCACCTGCCTACAATTCCCACCACAAAAAATTTTCAGTTGCCACACAACCAAGTAAAATTTGAATGGACTTGTGTTTTAAGAGTAAAATTAATGTCTCGAATTCTTGATCCCATCACTACTACTTTTATCATAACGCATCAAAGGTAATACCGTATATTTATCATCTAAAAAGCCACCAAGTGTAGGGAGGCCTAAATGAACAATGTACTCCTCGTCAACCACACCAACTTTCATAGTCCGATCACCCTGCAAATTAGGACAATGCTGTTGTGTTGTAATATCTCAGAGAAAGGCACGTAGATTTTAAGATTTCTAGCTCAACTCACCTGTGCACAATAACCGAGTTTCATATCCAGGCCCCACGCATGGATTAAGTCATTCTGCATAGGACATCACCATTAGTAAATTTCCGATATATATAATATAAAAGGAATAGTTTTAAGAAGGGAAGCAAAGTACTTTATAATTATGAGACATGAGCAGACTTCAATAATTATAAATATAAATAATACATTAAAAGAAAAGAGAAAATCTTTTAGGTACGCGCGGCGAATTTATTAATACCTGGAGCATATACCAAGCACAACGCCAGGCTGCTCGGGAGAAAACTGGAGCCATCATCTCCACCCAACTGCACCAACATTTTACCCAGGAAATTTACGGAGAGTAATATTAGTATGTGTTCAGCTTTCAAGAAATCTACATTGTTTAGTCATTTAATTGAATAGAATTAAATAGAGATTAAAAAGAGTTTTATGTTTACCCAACACATGGGGGAGCTGTACTGTTGTCATCACATCTTCCGCCACCTTTGAACTTATGGTATCTCCTGTTTACGAGAAAAGTAGTTCAGTGGTTAATATACGATGAGTGAATCTCTATAATCATTTGATTTAAGGCGGTTTATTCTAACCTGTGCACTCTCGATTTGCGCCTCCGTACAGTGATAGAGTGATGCACCTCGGATTTACCACGGTCGAGAGCAGGCTGTGAAATTTCAAGACCTTCTTCCTTTACAATTGATATATACCTGCAAAAGAAGTACAAAAATCACAACAAAAGCGTGAATAATATTTTGATCCACAAATAACTCACCATTTCGACTTTTGTTAATTAGCTTAAAGAACTCTTTAGAATGACAGTAAACAAATGCATCCTAACTTTCAACATTAAACAAAATAAATCCAGAACAAATATAACTGAATATGAAATATACGTGAATCACACCTTCTCGGATGAAAATTCTCGACTCCCAGGTCCTCGTCCCACAAAAAAATATATCCATATTCAGCAACAATATCCGGATGTAGAAAACGTTTGGCAAACCACCTATTTCATTAATCAAAGATTTTAAGAGAAGCGTGAATGGACTCCATTTACAAGACAAGGAGATATAATAATAATATGAATCTCAAGTACAAGCTTTACGGGTAATACCATTTGGTTTGGTTTGGTGCAGTGATATGGACTACTCTATCACTCCATTCCAAATCACGCCACCCGTCCACAACTCCATCATAGTGAAAAAGCATCACAACAAAATCATTTTCAAGAAACTGCAACAATAAAGATGTTAATGCTTATATACCCCCACACGGTATCACGAGTCATGAACCAGATAGTGTTGATTAATTTTGGAACAGATCGGTTATTTTTAGGAAGAATAAAAAATATTACACTTGAGCTTTCACCTACCAAGATAATTTAAAATGCAATAAGAATAATACAAAGAAACAACTCAGCTATTTGTAATTCATCAAGTGAGATAATTGGATCTTTTCTAATTAAGCTAAAGTTCAAGGGTAGCTTTTGTAGAACAAACTGGAGGTTCTGGAAATTAGAACAAAAAAGTGAAAAATGAGCATGAAAGCATGATAACAGTACCTTCTTAACAATTTGGTCCACCAGTCTTTTTTGTTTTATCCCAACTGCAATAGCCAACAAACCCGGTCCACGGGTTGACTTGGACTAATAAAATAAACTATATTGTAAGGAAATAAAGTACAAAATCGAAAAATAATATTGAAAGCGAAGCCTAAAGGCATCATAGAAACCAAACTGAAAGCAAAGCCTAATGATAATTGAACACGTAATGCTGTTAATACATACATCCTCTGAAACAGGTCCCCATAAAGGACGCATTTCCAAGTTTGAAGATGACGAAACAATTCCTTTCGGCAAAGCTTCACTACCAATAGGTCTGCATTCTCCCTATGCGACAAAATGAAGTCTTCAATTTAGAAGTAATTGATATCTTACAAAAATAACACAAAAGAAAATAGTGGTAATGGCAAAACTTTGCATCTTCCGAGGCATGTAGTATGCGTGCTGTCATCAACTTCTATATCCAGAGACGAAACCTTCAAAACAAGTTCAGAGAACCAAGACGTTAAAAGTTAATTGTAATGTTCTCTTAAATTAGATAGATACCTAGGAAAAAGAGCAAAAATAGATTAAAGTAGTTTCACAATCCGAAATAATCTTAAGAGCAGAACAAAGTACTTAAAACAACTCTTATGTTTATATAATATATACCGACAATAATATGCAATAACTAAAAGATCTACCTCACATTTATCTGAGTCTTGCGGTTGATGTTTCATTTTTAGTCCAATACCCGGTGCTAACTGCATAGATTTTACGCAGCAATATCAACATAATCCTCTACATGAAGCCATGGAATTTTTTTGCCAACTACAACACAAATAAGGTTGTTCAAAAGTACATTGATGTATACTATGTCATGTTCACAATTTAAACCATAACTGAAATACAAGAGTAAAATAATCTTTCCCGTTTTCGAGAACCACAACAAAGACGCAGTGCATTTTTTCACAACAAAAGGTGGAGGCACTATAATATGCAACAATCCATGGAAAGGAAACAAGAGCTAAACCTTGCTAGTTCAACACTCTATATTAAAGAGAAATGAGGTGGAAGACAATCTGTTGGTATTACTTAATTTTAATTCAAATTATAATTATGTTTGTTCTTGAATACTTTTTCAACCAAAAGGAGGCTAACAATGTTATCAATGGCGGATGCCATCCATCACAAAATTCTAACTGCGGCAATGCAGAAATTCGCAACGAGATAGCATCGGCAGCTACTGACTGTCTTTTCAAATCGTACACAAAAACAAAATGAACTCAAATAACTCGAACTACAGTATTTGTCTATTCACAACAGGTTCATGTGTACTTGTTAACATATAATTCAAATACACAAGGAATACATTATGTGTAGGCCAGACTTGTACCTTAAATAAATCCTTCCGCAGCCATGCACCGCCAATTAAGTAAACACCACAAATCAAAGACACCGTTATCAAAAGGCTACAGAGACAATATCTGCTCTTAGGATCAGACAGGGGGAAAGGCTGAAAAATGAAACAGAATATGTGAGTCGGAGGTTCGGCATGACATGTAAGAATGATAATAAGATAACAGATAACTTATTCATTATTCCCATGAAAAGATCAGTTAATGGAAACTGTTCCTGTGAATCCAAATTTGTGGCATCCATCGTATACTACGCAATCAACATCAAGTGAGAAACTTATGCCTCTAGTTGAAACTTGATACTAGCAAAATCAAAGTCATGACGTATTTCAAAAGGCATAGCGACTGAAAAAATAATTTCAACTACGAAGAGAGACCAGAGACTGCTTAAACTAAAAATCTTCAGCTATATCTTCTAGGAACTATGTATCATGGCTAATCCTATTGCCTCAACTGCAATCATCAACTATGCTACCTTCAAATATAAGAGAAACATCTGCATGACACATTAGTTTGAAATATATAATCTTGAACCCCAGAACAAGAAAATGCTATAAATATATTTCTTTTTTTTTTTAAGAAAATAAAAAAAAAATTAATAACAATTTATTTTGACATTAAATTAACAAAGTTAATTCCTTTTTTTTTTTTTTTTCCTAAAAAAACACGGTACTTGTCTGGTACCATGATAAATTAAGGTGGATGGTAAAATTTTTCCAGTTCTGTTTCGCCACCCTACCCCCCACCTACCTAGCCCCCAACCACCATAGCAAAAATATAGCAAACAACCCAAATAAAACAGAATTTTGAACTAAAATTCAACCAAGCAACTGGGCACACAACGTTGTACGCAACCATTATCGGACAGCACAAAACCAGAAACTAAATGCAAACATGACAAAAAAAACTAGAAAATTGATGATAAAGAAAGTTACACAATTGTATGACTTCATAGCTGATAACAGACAAAAGGGCTCAAGAAACTCGCAAGTATGATCCCCTCGACAAAGATAAAAAAACACGAACACCTACTAAACAAGGAACAGAGCCTTTTGTTTCTTTCTTTCGTCGGACTTTCGAACTGATCAGAAAGAAGAAAGTGACCTCAAAAGCAACGTATAAAGGGGATCCCAACAGGGACAAGGCAAAAAAAAGTATCTTTTTTACTAACAATCGTTCAAAACGACACCGTTACTTCTACCTTCCCCCACCACCATAAACTTCCTGAAACTCCCACACTTTGAACGGTTTTGAATTGAATAGATAAAATACAGAATATAGTACTAACTGTGGATATTGGAATGTTTGAAAATGAAAAACGTTTGAGTTTTTTAATTTAATAAATTGCAGAAAAGGAAAAGAAAATGTTTGAAAAATTTAGGGAATCGCTATTTACCGCCCCTTTTACTAATCACCGCTCCCCAATTACGTTTTTGCCCTTCACACTATCTCTATTTTCTCTCTCTCGACTTTTCACAGCTCTTTTGACCGTAAAAAAAATGTCGAAAAAATCCGAAAAAAATACCATGACATCGGCAAGACATTGAAGATTGACTACGTATTTTTTTATATTTTTTTACTTTGTAAATAATTTTTTATTTTTTATTTTTTTTTTTTGCGCGTCCGGACGGAATTTCCGGACGCACCATGGGGCGTCCGGACGGACGAACCGGACGCACCATGGGGTGTCCGGCCGGACCGTCCGGACACACAATACGGCGACCGGACGGTTCGGCCGGACACCCCATGGTGCGTCCGGTCCGAGTTACACGTCTGAAGGTGTTCGTGGCAGTTGTGAAATCAATATTGCTTTCTTTTGTTTTCTCTTTATCTTATTATAACTAGTGCGGTACCCGTGCGTTGTACAAGTTAATTTTATTAAGGTAAGTATTTATATTTAGATTTAGAATAACGTAAAAATTTTGTATTGGAATAAAATAAAATGTTACTTATATATTATTAAATGGAAAACAATGTACCTTTTGTAAACCGTATTTAAGAAAATAAACAGTTGACACCTATATATATTAGGATTCTAAATAGACTTAAATAAATCAATTAAATTATTTAGCATGATATATATGATATGATTTATACTGGTAGAAAAATATAACGGAGATTGTAAAACGTATTTATTGATAATCTATAGTCTTATTATTTTAAATTATAAATTACTTAATTTAAGGAAGGAAAAAATTGTGTACGTGTATGCAATCAGTTTCAAATTTGTATTTTATAATAAACAAAACCCAAATTTTTAGGATGTTTTAGTCCAATTTCATTTTGAATTTCAAATTAATATTATCTAATTTTGTTTTATTTCAAATAAAATTGAACTGAATAAAGTAGTAGTCAAACGATATGAGATTTTTTTAAATTTTAATTATCAATTTGGAATTGGGACGATTTCTATGCAGTCCGATTTTTTTTTTTTTAATAAACATGATATGTTGCAATTATGTAAAGATACATGTTATAGTATTTTGCCTAATTCGAAATTCTTATGGTAAACTATTTTTTTAATAGAAAATGAGAGAATTTTAACTTTTACATAATTGCCATGCCGAATTTTACCTAAATTAACCAAATTTCTATACAATCCGATTTTTTAATAAACAATTGATATGTTGCAATTCAGAAAAGATATATACCTAATTCAAAATTCTCAATTTATCGTAATAATTTTATTTTTTTTATTAAAAAATGAGAAAGAATTTTGACTTTGCAAAATTGAAAGCTTCAGTCGAAATTATATAAATCAAATCCACAAAACCCATAAATTTATGGTGCCTATATAGCTGCTCGATTTTTTTGGAAATAATTTAAAAAGAAATTAAAAAACTACCGAAAATGTAATGCAATAAATGTTGGTTGATCTTTTTGTTTTACTATTCTTAGTAAATAATTTCTCTCTTGTATATATATAGATTTTGTATAGATACCTAATTTATCATTAAATTTCTTTTTTCCCTTCTAAATGTGTAGTTTCAAACCATTTGGCTTGTGAATCAACCAAACGTCTTTGAAATTTATTTATTTATTGCTTCTATATTTATTTCATCAATGCCTTATGATCTTACTGTAAACTAAAATCAAGAAACAAAAAACACTATTTTCATTAAATTATAATAACAATTACTATGATTGGAAAGTCAATCAAATTTGACCAATAAAAACTTTATAATTTTAATAAATTCAATAACCTCTTTCAATTATTATGGATGAGACAATAGTCAATTACTTTAATACTAGATGGATGAGACAATAGTCAATTACTTTAATACTAGTGCGTGGCCCGTACGATGCACGAGAAAACAATATTACGATTGCGTTATAAATTAAACATACAAATAAATTAATCAAGATTTACCCATCATTTTTAAATTAACCCGTGTTGGACACAGTCCAGACCAGATAGACCGAGAACCAGTTTATAATCAGTCTAGTTCACTTGAATAAAATATTTGCTATTGAATACGTCAACACTAGTCGGTTGAACTGGTAGGATCGATACAATTTTCTAAAATATTTTGGTATATTTATTTTTTTTTAAAATAAAATTACATACGTTAATAAAATAGAAATTTATAAATTGTTTATCAACCAATTTAAACATTTGAATTTTTAAATTACTTATATATTTAAGTAACACATTTTATTCAAATTTATTATAAGAAGTGCCATATATATATAAGCGTATGTTCAAAGAAAAAAATAAATTATATGATTTTTATAAATTAAATTACATGATTATATTAAAGTGTATTTATACATTAAATTGTATTATTTTTAAAGAAAAAATAAGAAAAATAATAAAACTACTATTTATGGTTTGCATTAAATGTTGACCTATTTTTTTGTTACTAATTTTAGTAAATAGGATGACTATTTATATAAGTATAGATTTGAAGAGGAAAGGTATAAAAAATTACACAATTTGGGTAAATCTCTTGTGATTTACGTAATAGAGGAGTTGTTTGTTTGTTTCAAATAAAATGTGTATATTTGTTCAAAAATTTAAAAGGAAATAATATTCCCTAATAAATAAATAATAATAAAAAGGAAGGGTTTAAGCTTGCTCGCTGCATCTCTCTCCGATTAGGGTTTCCAATACTCTGTCAATCTCCACCATGTCTCTGTGTCGTCTGCTACTCCTCCGCTCCATCCGCCGCTACTCCTCCGCCTCTAACCCTTTTCCCTTCCATTCACCCTCCGCCGGACAAACTTTCGATTACCCTTCCCAATACGACCACCACAATCAGTCCAATAACTACCATAATTCCCAGTTCACCGCCACCGGCGGACCGAATTACCGATACGACTCTCAAACACCGGATGCCGCCGACTCTTCTTATTATCAGCGCAATCCCCAAGATCCCATCCCAGGATCGAATTACCAGCACAATCCCTCAAATCCGATACAGCAATCGTCGTATTCTCAGCACAATCCCCCGCCGCAATCCTCGTATTCCCAGCACAATCCCCTGTCGCAATCGTCGTATTCTCTGCACAATCCCCCACCGCAATCGTCGTATTCCCAGTACAATCCCCCGCCGCAATCCTCGAATTACTACCAGAGCAATCCCCCGCCGCAATCGTCGTATTCCTTGCACAATCCCCCACCGCAATCGTCGTATTCCCAGCACAATCCCCCGCCGCAATCGTCGAATTACTACCAGAGCAATCCCTACCTCAACACCCATACGGACGCCAACAACCCCCAGTTTCCATCCTCCGCCGCGCCCTTCGTCCCACAGCGATCCCATGGCTTTTCCTCCGCGGAGGAGGCCGCTGCCGAGCGCCGCCGCCGCAAGCGGCGCCAACGCATCGAGCCTCCCCTCCACGCCCTCCGCCCGAATCCCCCTCCAAGGGCCTTGCCCGACGATCCCAGCAAGCCCCGCCTCCCAGACAGCACCAACGTCCTCGTGGGCCCCCGTCTCAACCTCCACAATCGCGTCCAGTCTCTCATCCGTGCGGGCGACCTCGACGGGGCCTCCTACGTGGCTCGCCAGGCTGCTTACAGTGTCTGGAGCCTCCGCACCACCGTCTTCACCTGCAACGCCATCATTGCTGCCATGGGCCGGGCTGGCCGCAACTCGGACGCTCAGGCCCTCTTCCACTACTTCTTCCGTCAGTTTGACATAATACCCAACGTGGTCTCTTACAACAGCCTCATCCTCTCTCACTGTGACTCAGGACAGGTCGACGAGGCCCTTTCTGTCTACCGCCAAATGCTCGAGCATGCCCCCTTCAGCCCCTCCTCCTTCACCTTCCGCCACCTCACCAAGGGCCTGGTCCAAGCAGGCCGCATAGATGATGCTGTCAGCATGCTCCGTGAGATGATCCACAAGGGCCAGGGCGCTGACTCATTAGTCTTCAACAATGTAATTCTCGGCTTCTTGAACCTCGGCCAGCTGGACAAGGCCAATGAGCTTTTTGACGAGTTGAGAGAGAGGTGTGCCGTGTACGATGGGACTGTGAGTGCCACTTTTATAGACTGGTTCTTCAAGCAGGGGAAGCCCAAGGAGGCCATGGAGGCTTACCGAGATTTACTCTCGAGGAACTACATTAAGGTGCCTGCCTCACGGAACGTGATCCTTGAGACACTGCTGAGGCACGGGAGGAAGAAGGAGGCGTGGGACATGTTCCACGTGATGCTGGACGAGCACACGCCGCCCACATTCATGGCGGTGAACTCGGACACGGTCAACATGATGGTCAACGAGTGTTTCAAGGAAGGGAATATTGAGGAAGCTGTCGATGTTTTCAAGAGGTGCGGGAAGGGTGTCAAATCGAAGCCCTTCCAGATGGACGTGCCCGGTTACAACAACATGATGATGAGGCTGTGCGAGCTCGGGATGGTGGACGAGGCTGAGAAGTACTTCACTCAGCTGACGGACAAGTCCCTGTCCCCAGATGTGAATTCGTTTAAGACGATGATCGAGGCTTACATAAAGGCAGATAGGTTGGAGAAGGTGTTGGAAAAGTTTGTGATGATGGTGGAGGTCGGGACCGATGGGCTGAGGGTCATCCCTCCTTATGCCAACAAGTGGTTTGGGTACTTGATCGAGAAGGGCAGTGCTGTAGATTGCTTGCCTATTTTGTCGAAAATGGCAAGTAGGGAGCCGAAGCCTGATGTCACGACCTATGAGGTCGTAACAAGGGGCCTTGTGCAGGGAGGTGAGTTTGATGCCGTCCTGGAGTTGCTTCGGGATATGGCGGGCCATGGTGTTGGGGTCTCTGCTTCACTCAAGGAGTTTGTGGTGGGGGCTTTTGGAGGGGTCAATCGGCTGGGGGATATTGAGAGTGTTCTGAGCAAGTTTCAGAGTCAGTTTGTGCCCCAAAGGCCTCACCTTTTGCCGAGGGGCCCGCAGCTTCTGAGGTCTGACCATGGAGGATGGAATCGGGAGATGCCCCATGCGAATGGTTCAGTGGAACATGGACGTCAACCAGAGTCCATGCCGCAGCAGGAACTGGAGTTCCACCGTGTGGCAGGGCAGAATGCTGCTTGATTTGTTAGACAGAGGGCTGGAAGGTTTTTTATTATTTAAAGGACGAGCAACTGGTTTGCTCTTTGAAGGATGAAAAGTGTCGTGAACTTGATCATGATAGGATTTTGTTTCATGTTTTGGCCTCAGATGTGGGCAGTCTCTGCCATGATTCTTGCATCGACTGTCATTTGTTATGATATTTGTAATTTGTCCGGGGAATGATTAAAGGTTCTTTTGAATGCTCATTTTTTCGGGTGTTTTTCATACTCCATTTTTTGTTGTGATTCTTCCTTTCATGTCTTTGCAGAAATGGGGAGAGGGAAAAAAATCACCCCTTTATGATATTTGGTACTTTGTGGATTTTTCTTTCTTTTCGTTTTTTTTTTTTTTTGGAAGATTATTGTACTCTGAATCTCTTATCCTTTGAATTTTGAGATTAATAAAACAAGAAAGATGATTCAGATTGGTTGGAGTTAAAGTCCATGTTAAGATTTATATGAGTTTACAGTTATTTGGAAAGTTGGAAAGCTTTTAGACTAACTTGAGAGTTGTTGTACATGAATCTTGTGGTCAATATACCTGAAAATGTTTACAGCTATGTAAAAAAGCAAACAAAACTTCCTCTTCATTTGCTATACATTCTTGTTTTTTATCATAAGTTAGCAGTAAACATAAAGCCCAAGATGCCTAAGTGCCCTAATCTAAAACCTAGGCACTACACTAAACCTTAACCAGTCAAGAAGTCTACCAAAATCTTGAAATCCCAGTATTTTTTCTTTCTTTTCTTAAAAATACAAAAAACAAAAAACTATCACAAGATCCAATACTCTTCAAAATCCCATAACTTGTGATGTCAGATTCATCAATGGCTCCAAAGCACTCGGATCAAACTTCCTCGCAAAAAGATAGCAAATAGCCGTCTCTCCATTGTTATACGAGCACGAAGTGCCATTATTATTCCTGAGCGACTCGAGAAACCCCTCAGTAATATTGTCAGCCGTGAAGGTCGCCGGGTGTGGGCCAAGCTGCGACCAATCCACATAAGTCACTGTCCGGTTCGAGTTCAATTCACCATGGAATTTCCTTATATAAGTCGGGATGTAATGCTCGTCCGGGTAGCAAGAGGGCTTGCAGTACTTTTTGAATAGCATATAGTACTTAGTGTCGGAAACTATCTTGATGGCCAAGACACGTTGCATCTCGAACCACTGTGACCCTTTGCGCCATTCGGACAGATGGATGTCCGGGTTCATGCTCCGGCTGTAGCGGCCCCGCCCGTAGCGTGTTGGTTTATCGAACGACTCCACGAAACTGTGTGTGGAGGTGGTGAGGTATTTGTAGACGGTCGGGAAGTCGTATATGGGGATGCAGCTTTCCGAGAGGAGGACAAAACGTTCGTTCGAGAAGTCGAGGAGGGCATTGGCTAGGAGCCTTTTTTCCGCATCGATCAATGATATCGATCCCCACTCCACGTGCTGCAAAAATCAGAGGAAAAAAACAGTCTTTCAAATTACAAAATAAAGGGATATTCTGTAAATTTGCCATAAACTTCTTGCACATAAGTACTTCATTAGCACATAATGCTACCAAAAAAAAAAACCCTACAAAGATTCCATGACTACCAAAAATAAGGAAGACCAAAAGAACTTCCTCCACAATCATCATACACAAAACATCATATATTATCATTAAATGAGAAACTGACGTACAAAAAAAATACTACCTGACTCGGGATCTGTCGCCTGTAGAAAACAGACGTATTATCCACTTTGAGCTCGAACCCAGGAAGAGCATGCACGTATATCGAGTACTTGTCGGCATCCTGTCCACTGAAGAACCTCTCCCACAACGGCAGCATGGGCAGAGGCCCTCGTGTCAGGAACATGAAGGCCACCCTCGAGACCCGCCTGAAGGGAAACTCTTCCTTCTGGGGCATCAATGAGGCCCGCCAGAACAACTCATCGTCCGTCAACTGGTGGTCCACATTTATAGGACTCACAAACCGGTCGGTGCTCAGGCAAACATCCCTCTCGTATTTCACCACTACTCTCCACCCATCATGGCTAAACTGCCCGGTATCAAAATACGTGTTTTTGTAGCTGTCTTGGAACGTGAAGTACTTGTTGATGTTGGAGCTAGAGACCAGTCCTATAGCTACACCCACCACGAAAATTATCAAAATCGAGATGAGTTTCAACAGGCTGATTGACGAGTCGGCCATTGATGTCAGCACCGGAGAATTTAAGCGGCATTCCAAGCCGTCTTTCTCCTTATTCCTCGCCATTATTTCGATTTTATTCCTAAGAATTCACAAAAGATCCCTGCACCCTGTGCTGCTGATGTTCTACCAACTTGGATGCAAAGATTTCATCTTTTTTTTTTGTCTTCTGGCTTATTTGGGACCAAATTTCAAACACGTGTGATCAATCACAATCAACAAAAGGCCAAACCAGAGACCAATAACAGAACCATAAAACCCCAGATCAAGCAATCGACATGAAAACCAGAAAATCGATACGGTGCATAATTCTGAAAAAATAAGGAAAGAATAAACCTAATCCTGATCAAGAGTCCTACTACTCCTGATCAACCTAGATTTGCAACAAACGAAGGATCAAATTTCTGACCAACCAAGACTCGCGACAAGCGAGGATCAAAGCACTTACCCACGAAAAGGAACAAATAGAAAACCCACGAATCAACGATGGTGCAAGAATATCACATGAAAGCGCATTCCTCCGAGAGAACGAAGAAGCGAGGACTGCAAAGGGTATTTTTTTCTAGTAATAATGGTAAATTGAATGTAGTGTGCTTGGATACAAATCCTCTAAAAACATTTGCGTTATAACTTATAACTCATTATTTTTTTTTATTTTTTTTTTATTTTTATTTTTTTTTAAGTCAATCCCACTATTATATGGAAAAACTACACTTAACCCACTTAACTATAAAATTTATTTTATACTTTACTCACTCTAACTTTTTTTTGTGACACTCTGCCCATACGACTTTGCAAAAAATTGCACTTAACCAATTTTCGATCATCGTCGAGAATTTCTGAGGGCAAAATTGACTTTTCAGTCATTCATCCAGTTCATTTTTAAAAAATTACACTTTACCCACCCACCTATACATTTTTTTTTTGTATTTTATCCACTAAACTTTTTTTTTATTTAAACTTTGCCTGTAGAAATGGTCGGACGGTGACCGAAAATTGGTTAAGTGCAATTTTTTAGAATGTTATTTGAGCAAAGTGTCACAAAAAAAAGTTGAGTGAGAAAAGTGCAAAAAAACTTATAGTTAGGCCAGGGGCGGAGCCAGCCTCAAATTTCTCCGGGGTCGGCAATATTTTTTAGCGGGGTCATTAACCTAGTAAACAGTGTTTGAACAGTATTTTATACTAAAAATTTTGAAATCCATAGGGGTCAGCTGACCCCAGCCACAAGGTGGGGCTCCGCCACTGAGTTATGTGGGTTAAGTTTATTTTTCCCTATTAATATTATCAATATAACTAAATAATATCAAACTACTTGCTCTTACACATCGCATAACTATAATTCACTATTCAAGCACTCACGTTATTTTAACAAACATTCACTTCAAATCATCTCTCTCATACTTTTATGTCAAATCAACTTTAATTATTTTATTTTAAATATTATTTTAAAATACGCACTAACAACTAACCATACACTATTTTTATTTCAAAATTAGCCAAACCAAACCGAAAAATCTAAACAAATCAAAAAATACTCACAATGTTTTAACTAACCATCACTCCAAATCATCTCTCTCATACTTTTATGTCATATCAGTTTTAATTATTTTATTTTAAATATTATTTTAATATACTCACTAACAAACTAATCATACAAGTTTTTTTTTTTTCAAAATTAATCAAACCAAACCATAAATCCAAACAAATCAAAAAATTCTATATCCAAACATCCCTCAATAATCGCCTTAGATTTGGATTTTTTTAAAATAATGAATAAATAAATCTAATTGACTTGACAATTATGAGGTATAGTGTAATCAAGGGGAATAATGAGATTTTTCCATAAAATAAGTGAATTGCTAAACACGCTCTTCTATTACTATCTACCGCACCCTTACAGACCAAATTATCCTTGTCAGATTTTCCAAAAAAATTCTTTCACCTTCCAACATCCTCACGAACGCCGCCACCTCGCCTCATACCAAATCAATTCCAAAAAAATTGAAAAAACGTCGCCAATGAAAAGGCAAATGTCCAATGATTCCTCCAATATATTTTTTTTTTCCGACGTATTTTTTTCTTATAATTTTTTGAAGATTTATGTCGACCAGCGATCGCGGTCGCCGCGGACACAGGCGATTTTACCAGCCGGCCACCCGTCCCGCGAACGCGATCACTGGCTGGCCGCGCCTCTGGTCTGGCGCGATCGTCGTCGGCCGACCTCCATGTCGTCTGATTTCCACCGGTGGTCAACCGCTAGCCGGCCGTCGGTAATTTTTTAATTGGAATTATTCAAATATGTTTAAATATTTTAAATGTTTAAATATTTAAAAATAGAATTAAATTAATCTTTGTTTTAGGTTGATTTAGATAAATTTTGGTTTAGTAGTTACTATAATATGTTACTTATAAATAATATTATTTATATATATATATAGGGGGAGGATTCAATGAGTCCACTCCTTCAAATGAGTTCACTCCTTAAAATGAGTCCATTTCTTAAGGTATATATTAATTAAATAATAAAATAATTATTAGTTGACTCCGGCGTTGACCGTTGACTTCCGGCGTTGACCGTTGACTTCCGGCGAAAAATAGTTGACTTTCGACGTTGACCATTGACTTCCGGCGTTGACCCGTTGACCCCTAGTATGCATTATATGTATGAAGTAAATATGCATCCAGTACCATGCATTCAGTATGAACTAAATATGCATGGAATATGAATTGCACATGCAGTTCTTATGAACTAAATATGCACCAATAATATCAACTAAGTATGCACCTGTTATGAACTAAATATGCATCTGTTATGAACTAAATATGCATCATGAATGAACTAAATATGCAGCGAAAAATATGCAATAAAATGTGCATTTCATATAGGTAATTTATGATGCATATTTAGTTAATTTTTTATGAATATTTAGGTAATTTATGATGCATATTTAGTTAATACGAAATGCATATTTGTTTTATTTAAATTAAATATATAATAATATTTATATAATTAATTATTATGCATATCTACTTAATTCATGATACATATTTTAGTTCTTACGAAATGCATATTTAGATCATGAACAGTGCATACCTATTTTATTTGAGATCCAATCATAACAATTTATTTGTGTTATTAATCAATTTAAAATTAAAATTAATTATATAATAAAAAATATTTGTGTTATTAACTAAATATGCATCTGTTATGAACTAAATATGCATCATGAATGAACTAAATATGCAGCGAAAAAATATGCAATAAAATGTACATTTTTTATAGTTAATTTATAATGCATATTTAGTTAATTTATTGTGAATATTTAGGTAATTTCTGATGCATGTATAGTTAATACAAAATGCATACTTGTTATATTTAAATTAAATATATAATGATATTTATATAGTTAATTTATGATGCATATTTAGTTTATTCATGATACATATTTAGTTCTTACGAAATGCATATTTAGTTCATGAACAGTGCATACCTATTTTATTTTGAGATCCAATCATAACAAGTTACTTGTGTTATTAATCAATTTAAAATTAAAATTAATTATATAATAAAAAATCATTAATTATTATATTTAATTTAATTGTATAAAATGTACATTTTATTGCATATTTTCGTTGCATATTTAGTTCATTCCTGATGCATATTTAGTTAGTAAAATGTGCATATTTAGTACATAAACAGTGCATACATAGTTGATATTATTGCTGCATATTTAGTTCATAAGGATGACATATATAACTCATTTCTTATGCATATTTAGTTCATACTAAGTGCATAGTACTGTATGCATATTTACTTCATACAAAATGTAGACTAGGGGTCAACGGTCAACGCTGGAAGTCAACGGTCAACGCCAAAGTCAACGCCGGAAGTCAACGTTTTTTTGTCGGAAGTCAACGGTCAACGCCAGAAGTCAACGGTCAACGCCGAAGTCAATAGTCAATTGTCAAAATAATATTTAAATAATTAAAATAATAAAAATAAAGAATTAAGTAATAAAAATAAAGAATTATTATTTAAATGAAGAGTTAAATCTTGGCCACACATCATGTACCAATCTAGTGGCTAGGAATGAGTCTCACATTCACACTTTAAATATGTGTACTCATTGGATCCAATCCCTATATATATATATATTAGTGTCTTTAGACATTTTTTGTCAAATAAAAAATATATCATCAATAAATTATAATTTACAATATAAATTTTGAAAAAAAAAAAAATACAACGAACACTAATCATAATTACGACATAATTTTACAACATAAAGTTTGAAAATGGTGTAAAATATTTTATGCTGTTACCTATTTGATCTGTATATATAAAAAAAAATAAAAAAAAAATTGTTTTTTAGACTTCCCAACTATGTAGATATTCATCACATTTTCAGGCAAACTATACATTCTTAATGAGAAGAAACCCCATAAATCTACATCTTTATCCATGTAGATACTATTAAAGAAATATATGTCTAATAATTAACTGAATAACCTTTTTTATGTACTTTTTATTACTAGATAAGTAATTATTTTTATCATATATATAATGCAACACATATTGGTCATTTTATTATTATTATTATTATTATTATTATTATTATTATTATTATTATTATTATTATTATTATTATTATTATTATTATTATTTTTAACGAAACAATAGATGGTCATTTTATTAACTTTTTACATATAAAATAATGAATTAATAGTTTTTGTATAGTTTTTTATTTAGCACGCATAGTGATCATATAAAGATAAATATTATTTTATAATATATATATATATATATGAAAATATTTTTATCAATAGCTTATATTTTATTTTTATATCAACATCTGCAAATGGGTTTTCCATTCCAATAACGCAACATGGTCTAAATATACCATGCCAATAATTTTATTGAATAGAACTCATACTTTTTCACTGAACACTTTTAAAAAATTAAAAGGAAAAATATAGATAGCACGTTTCCCTTTTGGCTGAATGCGTTTTTAAATTTTTTTAAGAGTGATAATAAAAGAAAGAAGAATAATTTTAGATGATTGGAT